ATTAAAATACTCTACTACATGTTTTTAAGTATAATGCCATCACCCTGATTTGATTATTTCAACCACAATTTCAAACAATTTGTTCCAATTCAATCAATTTGAGTATTAGAGAGGGACAAGTATTGGTTCACATCATAATTGGCTAGATAACATACAAAACTACCATTAAAAGATCACCGCTAACCTATCAAAACCGCCATAAACATCTATCCAATTCCACGTAAATTTTGCTGTCCGGTTGTGAGCTCAAAATTTCAAGGGAAACATTCACTATAATGGATTAGGATAAGACACCATTGTCATTGACCAAAATATACGGTTTATGAATGTTAGAATTATTTGCTAATGGCTGGCCGACAGCGTTCACCAATTAAGGGCATACTATTTTCAATGTTGAAATACGAAATAACGATTAAACTAGGCAAAATCAGTAAACGAGACACTAAGAAACCAGCTGTGCATAAAAATAAACTCGAGGGTGGCTCAGAAATGACGTTTCAGTAAAAAAAAAAGTGAAAAAGATCTATTTTTAGTGCTTTCTAGCAATGAATTAGTTGTTCCATGCTACTCCCTCCGTCCCCAATTATAAGATACTTCTCCGTTTAAGGTGTTTGACCAACGATAAAACAAACAGATCCATATCTCCACTCAAATTATGTTTAGAAAAAAAAGTTACATATTCAGAAACTACATTAAAAGGTTTACAAAGTCGCAAAAACCAGAATCAAATTTGATAAAAATTTGATATATAAAGTAAGATATTAAGAATGGTTTGTGTTGACCAAGTGAACAGTAAAGATATCTTATAAAATGAGACTAAAGATATCCTATAAAATGAGACTGAATAAATACTTTTTTATACTCGTATATAAAAAAAACACGTTTCGCTTTCGTATTTTTGGAATCACTGCAAACAGTACAGTAGTGTTTTGAGTTAAGGTTCTGCAATAAGGAAACGCCTTTTTGCAACCCTTTAAGGCTTTAACTCGATCGTCTAACCAACTCCCTTCATTGAATGGTTTATTAATAATCCATCCATAGTTAACTGCTAGCCGCTTATTACTAAGCTACCCTATACGAAGTACTCCCTCCGTAACTTAAAAATCTTCCCACTTTCCTTTTTCGTCCGTAACACAAAAATCTTCTCATTTCTAAATCTTCCCATCATACCCTCAATAATTCTTAAAATAATACACTATTACAACTACTTTTTTTGGATTTATCCTACATTCCACCACATTATTCCACTATATTCCCATCATACCCTCAATAATTCATATCATCTTTCACTATTCTTAATCTACCTACTTTTGAAATGGGAAGATTCTAAAGTTACGGAGGGAGTATATAATTATATACTACTAGAATAGATCTTATTAATATCATGTAAGTTGGACTATTACACCCATTTTTCTACAACTGATACTTCATACATTAGTATTTTTACCCCAGGATTAGGGAGATGGGCTGGGGAGAGCCTGAGGCAAATAGTGTTGAAACTCCTTCGATGGAGTTTCGAATCTGATACCTCTCGTGTAAAGAGTGAGCCAGCAATTAGTTAAGCAAGACCGCTTCATCACTGATATTTCAAACGGAGTATATTGTTGTTAAGAAAGTAATAATAACTTTTTTCTCAAAATGATAAAATTAAAATATTAAATACTAAGAAGTACTAGTATATCATAACTTTCACTACACCTAAACCTAATGTGGTATGTTCCCTCTCTCATGGAGTGTTGGTATGCGCTGCGGATAGGGCGGTGCACGGGTTGGGTTCGGGCGGGTCGGGTTTGCGAACCCTAAACCCGTTCGGGTTTTTTAATTTAAATACTAGGTCCGACTCTTTGATATTTCGAATCCGGTATTTCGGATATTTTTAAGTCGGATATCGGGTCGGGTTTTGGATATTTCAGCTATATTAAAAGAATATAATTGAATAATTAAAGTGTTTAAATTCCACTTTGACAAAAATTGTACACACTAGTGCACTACACATCCAAATTACACAAATAATTTAACACAAATTGCACAAATAATTTCACAAATAATTGAACACAAGTATTAATTTAACATATTCAAAGTGCACACTACATAATTTAATATACTTCGGATATTTCAGTTATATTAAAACACATTATAATTGGATAATTAAAATGTTGGAATGCCACTTTGACAAAAATTGTACACACTAGTGCACTACACATTCAATTTACACAAATAATTTAATATAAATTGCACAATATAATTACACAAATAATTGAATGCAAGTATTAATTTACCATATTCAAAGTACACACTAACATATATTTCGGATATTCGGGCGGGTCGGGTTGGGATTTTACAAACCCTACCCGCCACCCAATCTAGGCCCAATATTAATCGGATTTTCGGTTTCGGGGTTTTCGGGTCGGAAATCCACTTCGGTTCGGATAATATCCGAGAAAAAAAAACCAGGTTTTTCGGGTCGGATCGGGTTTTGCTCAGCCCTAGCTGCAGAGCACTTCGTGCGGATTGATTTGGAGGATTGGTTAGCAATTCTGTTTTGGTAGTGATTCTATTTTGAATGAGTCGCTGTTTTCTTGATTTGACGGAGACCAATTTCGAAGAGCTTCGTTCTGATTTGACGGAGACCAATTGACGGAGACCAATCACCGTTTGGCTTGTCAAATTTGCCCGGGATCGACGGTGTTCTGAATTATCAATGGCTGGATGGATGCACCCCAGTTGACCGGTATGGTTGGCTACAATTGGGAGACAATGACGGAGATGAGGCAGTCAGCTTCTCCCTCGGTGTGGGGAGTTGTTTTGGTGGCACAATCAACTTCGTCTGGTCAGGTTTTTTTAGTCTATCTTCTTTTGAGTTTTGAGGAAAAGATTTATTTTTCCTCTAGTAGTATTTATTTCTATTTTACTTGGATTAGGTTTGATTTGAAGATTTAGATTCTTGGAATTTTTTTGATGGGTAGTATTTCAGTTCCGATTGTTTTAAACTTACATTTGCTCGTTTCATGTCTAGCGGATCAGGTTATTTTGTATGAGATGACTGATTCTATGTCTATTTCTAAGGCTTACGATCGGCTTCATCATAATTGCATGAAGATTGTCGTGTATGATTTTTTAATATTAATATGAAAAGCCGTTCTTTTATTTTTATTTATTTATTTATTTACTTATTTATTTATTTACATACTCTGTATTGTTTTTTTTGAAGGAAATCGGCTTATATAAATAAACAATAAAAGTTTAGAATATGAGACAACTGACAAAACGAAAATTGATAACCGTCATCCCTTGAACCAGACTCGAACTAGATCAGATTTAAATATAACAGACTAGATCAGATTTAAAAAGACCAGACCAGACCAGATTTGACTTCCAGTAGCTTTTGTTTATTTTATTTGGATTCTATGGATAAAAAATGTGATGTCAAAGATACTCTAATCAATGACGTCCAATAATTATATAGAGAACTATGTACATTTGTATTCACTGGTACCAATGCCTTCCTAGAAATGTAAAAAGCCATAGTGTCAGTGAAACCATGAAATTAAAGTAATAGACGTACTGGAGGTTCTGAATCCTATAATATGACCTCTCCCATACCTCCTCTCTACCTCTACCCACAAGACATGCCCAATTCCTGTGCTACCAATTCGACATGCCATTTGAATTTCAAGATGCCAAAAGTTCAAGGAATTGTTACTTTCCGAGTTTTGGGTTTAGAGTTTGGTTTGATGCATTGAATTGTATTCCCCCACCCCTAATTTATCTTGTGAAGTACAAATGACACGAGGATTAAGATAGTGTGTATTGTGTGGTGAAAATTTGTATAGAAGAGAGAGAAATGTGTAAGGATGTGTAAAAAATGCCATAAAGATGAGATAATTTTGGGATGAAAGTTTGAAAATAATAGTAGAACGAAGGGAGTATTAAGATAAATGACTAACTCATGTTATGTCAACCTTTTAGCCTAAAAGTTTTAGGTTAGAAGTGTTAATAATTGAGTTTACATCCTAAGAGATTAACATGATAAAAGGAATAACCTAATATCTTAATATACTCCATTTGTCTCATATTAATCTTCTAACTTTCCACATGTCCCAAAATAATATACTCTTCCCTTTTACATAGCATTGAAGAATTTTTTGTACACAACAAAACGTTCACTTTTAGAGCTCTCTATCGCACAATTTAGACTATCTTAATACACGCGCAAAATGCTGTTTGAAATATTATATTGGGACGAAGGAAGTGGTATTTTAATAGTTCATATATTACCGGTAACCGGTGTGGAAAATGTTATTTTTCACATTTTGGAACATTGAAATTACTTATGAAGATGATATGATAATCCTCAATTCACTTACTTATTGGATTCTTAAGGTAGCTAATTATAATTATAAATAGGTACTTTCAAAAATAAAAATGATTATGAGGTGTGACCCATTCACATGGCGGTGTGGATTCCGTGTCTGGTCGTCCATGGCCTAATTGGTGCGACTGCCATTATTTTCCTGTCTTGTAAACTTTGACCAGTCATCACTTTGACCAGTTTTTTGTCCCATCTTCGACTGTGAACTCAGCAATGGCAATTCTTTGGGCAAATGATTCGATACGCTTCTTGGTTCAAAACTTGGACTCAAAAGGAAAGGAACCATTAATATACTTGATAGTGATTAGTGCAGTGTTTATAATAGTTGTGCTTAATTACACCTTTAGAATGTATTAAATTAGATCGATTTCAGTTTCTCACACGATCAGATCAAACCAAATCCAAATTAAACATATCAGATCAGACCGTATCAGACCAAATCAAACCAGACCGAACTATCTTCTTTTAGACTAGACCGGACAGCAACTCAAACAGATCAAACCAGGTTGAACTACAAAATTATAATCCAATTAAAATATTCTTAGTATGCCTACAATTTAAGGGGAAGCTTTGAGATTAAAATACGAGTTTTTTTACAAGAATATTACTAAAATAGAGCGATTATCATGTTGATTCATATATGTAGATTATCATGGTTCAAACTAACATTTCCTAGGTAGGACTTGCATTCCTAAGTCCTCGCACACACTATCTCTAGAACTTCTTTATCCTTAGCAAAACACATACAAGTTAACCGTTGTGGCCACAGACCGTTTGTTAATTACCACAACAAAACATTATATACACTTTATACATCATAGTCTCTAATCTTGTTGGAATCTGGAACAACCTTATCCATTGATTTGCTATGTAACATCAAACGTGGAGGTGGGAAAAATTGATTGTTCAATGCACTACTATTATCATCACTTACAAACACAACCCTGAAGATATCATACTTAATGTCGATCGAAAACCCATCAAGGTAAGGCAAAATACTAGTCCTATAATCGTCACTGAGGATGTAAGAATAGCAGCTCTGCAAAGACCTCCAAACAAACATTGCGCAAACCTTGGATAACCTAGCGGACTTGAGGCAAGCCCCTGCTTTGGCGCCGCCCATTTTTATGAACCTGTGTAATTAACCACACTTTAATAAATAAGTTTCCATAAATAGGATAAAACATGAGTATAGAAATATTCTTGTTTTTACTTAAAAAGAGTACTCATCTAGTTAAATATTAATAATGTAGAATTGAATTAGTCTTATTTTGAAAATAAAATAATGTTGGTCATGTTAATTAGAGAAAATATATCACTACCTCTATCCCAATTTGAATTTTTTGATGCAATTTAAGCACTCAATTTAACGCTTTTAAAAGCAAGCTAGCTTTTAATAATAAGTTTTAATCGTTTTCAAATAATACCTACTATGCATTCCATTGGTCCAAGTGACTACTTAATCATTTGTTTACATTTAAATTCCTCAATTGTAATACTTTAATTGATTAATTGGTCCACGTGTACAAGCTATAGCACATTGAGGGTACAATAAAGTTTGCTTGACTTGATTGACCATCACAAAGCGCGCAAAGAATCTTAAATTAGAAGTATAGAATGGCAGAAATATGCTTTAAACTTGATTGAGGAATTTCAAATTTCCTAAAACCACTTAGCATAGCTTGTAAATATTTATATCACATGTTGTAATGAGAACTCTTAAGATGTGTTGAATAATCGAACCTGTCTTTAAATATGGCCAAACATGCATAGGAGAAATCACTCATTATTATGTTTGTATCATCTTCATTGTCACATGTTGAGAAGGAGATTGTATGCAGGGAGATGGTGTCCCCGGTGAAGAATTTTGCTGCTAGGGTGCCGTCCCTGGCTTCTCCGGCATAGGCGTCATAGAAACCATGCTCTAAGAGTATGGCCATGCTTGATACGTCATTTCTTAACCTTGATAGCTGATAATGTAGGTGAATTAACATTTAGATCCATCAGACACATTTGCCAATATTGTCATATCTTGACATTTATAAGTATATAGAGGGTGTTTGAAATTAATTATGTTTCTGCTTCTTTTGTAAAAACATAAACAAGATCAAAATCAGTTTTTCAGAAACTGCTCTCACTCAACTTCTAAAAACCTGCTTCTACGAGCAATTTGGAGCACTCATAAGTACTTCTGCATTTTCAAAGAAACACTCTCATATATGTTTCTGCTCTCTGAAAGAGCGGAAGCAATTTTAAGAAGTATATCCAAATTCCAAGTTCCAACTTCTTAAAAAGTTGGTATAGTGTGACACCTTTCCTCCTAATATGTACATCAATACCTAATAACTAGGATCATTAATATACCTGGATATTAATAAAACATACCGAGTTTTAAAATATGAACACGATAACATTTAATCTATTTATGACCTTTGTCAAATTATGATCCTTATTTCAATACCAATATCATAAAGTCAAATGTACTAGGGGTGGGCATATCGTTTTCCAGTTCGGTTTTTACCGGTTTCGGTTCAGTTCGTTTTGGAACAGATTAGAAGAATTATTACCAAACAAAAACCATACTATTTTTTGGTTTTATTCGGTTCAGTTTTGTTTGATTTGGTTCGATTTGGGTTTGTGATCTTTTAATAATATATGAAGGTTTTATTGAATTAATTTAGTTCCGTTCGGTTTTGTTCTATTTTTATCAGTTCCGGTTTGGTTTAATACAATTTGGAAGAAATACTATCAAACTCAAACTGAATTGCATATGGTCCAATTTCGGTTCGATTTAGATGGTTTTGGTATGATTAGGTTAAACCAAACCAATATGTCCACCCGGGGGCGGATCCAGGGCACTGGGCCGGATTGGACCAGTACGAAGAATATTTTTGAAAATTTTTTACACAGAACTTTTTACACTAAAAATATAGACATATTTACATTTGGGTTGGGCCAAGGCTGATCCTCCCCTAGCTACGCCCCTGTGTCCACCCCTAAAATGTACGATGCATATCATACATTCAGTGTAATTTACGATCCTTCATAAGTTCTGGGCCATAGCTTTGGTCTGTCGGCAACTGGGCCTATGAGTTTTTTTTTATTTAATTTGGTTTATATTGGGCTGGGCCATTATTATCACTATCAATGTTTTGTTGTGATGTTTTTGGGCAGTATGTTGCTTTTACTATTTTTGGATTGGGGCGATAGTTTGTGGAATATCGGGCCATGGCCGGTCCCATGCTAATTGTTAGATTTTGTTATGAGAACTATATAGTTGGGTGAGAAATATTCAGGTCAGGTATACCTGATCACTGCCCCCGTCCGGCCTCCTCCATTTGGGGGTCTTCCCAATGGTATTTTTTGCTCAAATTTTTTGTGTAGGTTCCTCATTAAGTCTAGTTCATCCATACCAAATTTCAGCCAAAAATTCAATCGGGAAGGTCGTCAAATGATTTTTGCAAGTTAACTGGTCCGGAAAATACATATTCCGGACCAGTTAACTTGCAAAAATCATTTGACGACCTTCCCGATTGAATTTTTGGCTGAAATTTGGTATGGATAAACTAGACTTGATGAGGAACATACACAAAAAATTTGAGCAAAAAATACCATCGGGAAGGCCCCCAAAAGGAGGAGGCCGGACGGCGGCTCCGGTCAGGTATACCTGACCGGAAGATTACTCATAGTTGGGTCTAATTAATTTAGCCTAGTTATTAGCTTAGTCACTTTTAGTGATTTTTTTGTTCACATTGTAAATTTATTTTTGGATGTTTTAGTACTCTCCCCGTCTACTGGACTTTGTAAACTTTTCATTTTTGATTGTATCAAAAAAATTTGTCATTTTTCCATTAAAGTAATTAATTTTTTATTCTGCTCATTTCTCTTTCATCTACACGAATCACAACCATACAATTTTAATTTTCCTTTAATTCTCACCTAATTGAAAATGTGCAATTTTCATTGGAACATATATAATACTATTTACATGTCATAAAAAAAACTTATCATACGTGAGGTTGTCAGATCATACATAAGGATCAAATGTGAATAGATGAGAGGACAAACTTACAAGAGAAGCATTTAGTAATTCTCTACCATTGTTATACGGTCTCTTTACCCATGCTCCATACCATACAATCTACACAAATAAGGACAAATAAAATGGATCATCTCTTTACCCATGCTCCATACCATACAATCTACACAAATAAGGACAAATAAAATGGATCATCTCTTTACCCATGCTCCATACCATACAATCTACACAAATAAGGACAAATAAAATGGATCATTAAATCCAACAAGCAAACGACAATATTTTTAATTGGATTAGAATTTTTTGATATGATAATCAATTCATGTAAAATCATCTCAATTCTGGACTCTATTTTAAAGACTAATTAAAAACACTTTTTCATTAGAAGCCGTTAGAGTTGTGTATCAAGCTAAGAGAACATCATGTCGAGTCGTTGAGGTCTTTCACAATGATATACATTAATTATACGGAGAACTTGGTAATATAAGGATTAAATACATGATTGAATTCAAAAATCAAACTATTGCAACAAGTAAAAACAAATGTGGTACGTAGTTATGAATCTCATATGTTTGTGGCGTAATTATTTTAGAAAATAATTCGGTTATCAAATTTTACAGCGACAAAAAGAATCAATTTCATATGTGTGGTATTAGATATTTTACATGTCACCCACAAATATGTATTGACTTTTCTTGATCAATGACGACCAAGTTTGACCAATGACTTTTTTAGTACTATGAAACTACTTTAAATATGAAAATTAAATGAAAATGTTCTTTGTTATTTGTTATATGTACTTTGATAAAAGTATAAAAACTATAAGTTTCACACAAATATAATAACTAAATTCATAGTTCAAACTTTATTATCATTGAATCAGAAAAGTCAAACTTGTCTCACACGGTTGCGTATAAGCATACAAATCTAACATAAAACTTTGAAAACTGCCCCTCCTATCAATTGAATGTCATTGCAATTCAAGTCTTAGTAAGAAGTAAGAAAGTAGTAGTATATTAAAGGGGGTGAATGCATGATGAAAAACAAGTTATCTAGTATGGTGTAAGTTGAGCTTTGATCACACTTGATTAAAAGAGTGAAACTTTATTCTAAGTCGTAGCTTGGAGTTGAACTCGGGACCTCTCTCTTGTGACACCCTTTTCATACCATGTCAGCTACGCCCCGATTTAAGGGGCGTCATAAAGAGAAGATGAGAAGGGGCTAAAATATAACAAATGTACAAATACATAAGATAGGTAGGTAGCTACTAGGTGGTGTAGAGTGGTACCAGACTGCCATGGATGCTCTTAAAAACAGAGCTGTGAATGCAACCAAGAGAGTGAGCAGAAGAGGAGAATTGCTTGAGAGCGGCGAGGAGATGATCCACCATTACTATGGTTGGCCTCAATATGAAGAAGCTCAGATCCAAATTCCTATCATTGAATGGTACAAAGCATGCCGCACTCTCTCCCCCCATTTCCCTTCTTTTTCTTCGATCTTCAACTCTTGTAATGATCTATCTATATTAGTTTGTCCAAATTAAATACCAGTCCTTCACAGTACTATTGAGGAATTTAATCACATATCAAAAGGCTGTTCTTATTACGTAGTAATATATATTACTCAATTTTGATTATATGTTTGACAAATTGATCTGATCAATTCCGGCGAATGTTTGAAGTTGCTTTTCCATTCAAAGTTGGAGTCCAGACACGTGACGAGTTTGATGTTTCTGGATCGATGGCCATGTTCATTTCTCGTCCTGGCCAATAGCACACTTTGACTTTGACGTAGAATTAAGATGATGTGTTTCACTTGCATAGTCCAAATTATAATATAAAAAATTGATAAGTTAAATAAGTAGATAAAATAAAATTGTGTTGATCAACAAAAGTTGACTTTACAAGTCATTTTGGAATGAAGAGAGTATCATTTTATGAAACTATGTACGAAGTATAATAGTTTCCTTTTTGAAAGTATAATAGTTGGACAACTAACACATTATACTACAGGAGCACGTTCGGTAAGATTGAAATTAAATTAGTTGCATTCGCTGAAATTGATGGAATTCTAGTTAAGAGGACTGAATTGATTGATTCTGCTTAATTGTCAAAACACCATATTTAAAATGTATTTTATTAATAAAAAATAGTCTGTACTAAAAAGGATCTACAACACAATCGCTAAATTGAATTGTCATCTTCAACGATTTGACCCAATTCAATCAGAAATATAGCTCAACACAGTTCAATATTATAAATAAAGAGTTACGTGTTTAGCGATAAGTCAAATATATGAGTTACCAAACAGGCAAACACAATTCTAATGGGTTTGAATAATCAACAATTTATTTTTGTTGTTCATGGATCGATTCGACCCAAAGTCTTTTGCCAATAAGACATGGATGCTATATATTGTTATTGTAACGGATAACTTGTTTTTGACAATCGAATTCTGTGGAGTACTAAGTTTAGCGAAATTGACGTAGAAAAACCTTCACGTTGCTTTTCTCTTTGCTGCATGGAGGCAATTTGATACAACTTAGTGACCTATGCAATATATAGCCATATACGTAGTATGATTTTTTTCTTATAAAAAGCGTGAGTATCCTCTATTTAAGAGTATTATTACGTATTATCATATACGGAGTACTGAACTTTGTTCACCACTCACCAGAAAATGATAGCAATGCTGAATGCACTTGATAATTGATATGCTTTGTGTGGCAGTGTTATGAAGATAAGTATTAGAATATTGTTAAAAATTGTATCATTATGAAGTCATTTTTAGTTCATATCGAGCGAATAAAGAAATACCCAAGAATATGAAATATATATACGTATAATCATAATGAAATATGAGTTGAGTTATCGCAAAAGACGAAATGTACAACCTAAACATTCCAATCCTTCTCGTTAAAATCAAACATCATAACACTAGATTCAAGATAATTTCAGTCCAAATTAAAAATTCAATGACTAGACTTAGACTTTGTCACCCACAAATGAGCCGCAACAGTCGCTAACCAGTAACAAGCAAATGAAAGTTTTTTTTATTATGTTAACCTGGTGTCCTAGTATGAAAATGTACGATTTCTCCAAAAGATTTAAAACGAATGAACAAAAAATTATAAAAGTGCATAAATAAGCAAATTGACCCTAAATTCTAATTATAATCAGCATAGAAGATATTGACGAAAAATGATGTATAATACAGAGTAATAAAAAAGTAACGATCTAATGGAAAAACTGTACTGAGTGGATTAATTCAGAATTTGATTTAATTATTAACGAAAAGTGATTAAAACGATCTAATGGAACATTTGTAGTCATGCAGTCGTCGCGCCCTCAACTTATTCCAATCCTTTCAAGCATCAAAATATTTATTTTAAAGGAACATTTGGAGTAAGGGGAAGAAACAGAGCACTAGGCCGCACCGTGCAAGTACAAAGGGTATTTTTCTAAAAACTTTTACACATAATTTTTTCCTTAAAAAGTAAAGCATTTTTCAAATTCGGGGTGAGTCATGGCCTAGGTTGGCCCCCAAGACCCACCTATTAAAATGATTGTGTGTAAACTGTAGGGATGCAATCATTTTACATGTAAAATTAAAATACATTGTTTGAAAAGGTATGCGATCCATTTTAAAAATGCATGCAAAATAAATGTATTGTTTTACTCAAATAACAAATTCACACGTAGGGGAGCATCAATCATCGACTATATCAAACATTTTCATTGTCATTCCATCCATTCTAATCTACTAACAAAGCATAATTTTGCTGAAATCAATCTTGAAAACAGCCACAAAAGCCTAGTATTCCAACAGATTCCTAAAATGACATGTATGAAATGTGGCAATCCTTGGCTTCACTATGGCAACTTCCCAATTCCTATTTTACAGTAGCAGAAGTATCGAAAATAACTCTGCATACATTAGTGGTGGACTCGGGCCGGGTGGCCCGACCCGGAACTGGTACTATTCCGGCCCGGCCCGAACCGGTAGCCTGACGAGTGACCGGTCCGGGTAGGCCCGACCCGAGGGGTTTCCGGTCCGGGCTTCGGTCACCCAAAACATGAACCGGCCCGGCCGGTCTGGGCCCGGGCTTATTATTATTATTATTATTATTATTATTATTATTATTATTATTATTATTATTATTATTATTATTATTATTATTATTATTATTATTATTATTATTATTATTATTATTATTATTATTATTATTATTATTATTATTATTATTATTATTATTATTATTATTATTATTATTATTATTATAAATCCCCGGGTTGGGCTGGGTATTTTGGGCCATTTGTGGTGGTTTGGGGGTAATTAGAAAAAGGGGAAAAAATTGTAAGAGGCCCGAGGCCCGGACCCGATGGCTACCCGGGCCGGTCCCGGGCCCAACATTTCCTAACCGGCGGCCCGGTCGGGCCTAGGCCCGGGCCGGGCCCAAACCGGCCCGAGTCCACCACTAGCATACATACGATTACCTATAAGGCTATAAACGAGAGAATTGATCTGGTTAAGAATGTGCCGCTGATATTTTTTGCTACCGATTGTAGAAAGTGGGGAATATGATGGAATAAAGCAAAATGACTCACTAAATATGATGGAATATTTCTTTGTTATGAAGTTGTAGTTAGTCCATGCATTTTTCAACGCAAATTTCATTATGTGTTATCCGGAAACAGTCTCTCTGTGCTTTAGTATAGAGGTAAGACTGCGTACATCCGACCCCCTTACTCCACCATAGGTGGGAGCCTTTGCGGCACTGGGATAATGAAGAAGAAGATTGTAGAAAGTGGGACTTGGTTAAAGGTGGAGTCCGATATACGAAGTATTATCATCCGCATCCGCGAGTGTAAAGCAATTTACTACCCTCCTCCTAGGTAAAATATTTTACATGGTACAGTGTAAAATGTTTAAAAAAAGTGTCCTACAATTTACATCAAATAATTAAAACAATCGATGTAAAATGCTTAGTTCCCCAGACTTCGCATGCAAAGTGTTTACTTTACATCGTACCAAACGGGCCCTATGTTTGGAGTTGCATATCATTCAGGGATATGAGAGATATTTGATTTTAAACACATCATTCTTTACCGAAATGATTTTAAACACATCATTCTTATTGCATTCATATGAAAGGTTTTGACTTCGAAACTCTATCGAATCGAGGCAGTTCTGGTCATATTTACCGAAGGCCCCCAATCCTCCATTAAAAAACTGGGATTATAGCTTAGAAAGCTATAAAAAGTAGTGAGGATGGGCATTTAATGGTCACAACAGGATTCACATAAAGGGAGAGAACGAGCAGTCGAGCATATGGCAAAAAGGTATATTTCAATTTATTATACATCAACACATCAGAAAAGCAGGGATCTATCCGGGTATAAATGTATAATGTATTGTAGAGAAAACAATACTTTATGGCTGGTGAATTCAAGAAGTAGATATTACTGTGTATAGTAGTAACTAGTAAGTAGTAGCAGTTAAGACTTAAGACATATGTACTCTCAGACTGAGAAACCTTGCTCGTTCAACAATGGGCAAGCCCCCCAAACTTCATGGTTTTTCATGAGAAAAAGGGATAAGAATGGGCGAGCTTAACTTCATGGTTTATGGTAGATCTGCACGAAACTTTAAAAGGGGACACAATATTAGAGATCTTTCTGTAATATTTCAAGTCCATTTGGTAACAATGAAATTGCTTGAATCTGCTGAATGAAAATTTATAATCAATATAATTTATTAATAAAATCATGGGGAGAAAGTTGAAGTTCTTGTCTTCAAGAAATCCGGCCAATTCAATAACATTGGCCTTATTTTCATTATTATGTAATTTAACGCGTGGGATAAAAAGATCAATGCTTAATTAAAAAATTGTTGATTAGGATGTTGAGGTGAAAAAGGGTTATCAAATGAGACCCTATTTTTTTTGTATACATGGTAAATGTCTAGACGTCTAGTACGAAGTAGAATTTAACCAAATTGACCTTGTGAAACCTTGAATATCACTAGACAATACGTAATTTTCTTTTTATTAGTAATCAGATACCATACTTTTCCTACAAAGATGGGTGATGACTGAATACATCGCTAATGAATAATTTTAACATGATGAAAACATTCCACCCTTCCAAACAGACCGTGTTTGAGATTTTAATTCCGGAACTCTACCTATTATGTGCAGGTTCATACATATTCAACCCATGAATATTTTTATTAGTCAAATACAAGATTAAAAATGACTGAATAGGATTGGGTCGGACAAGTTATGCAGGTTCAGGTTATTCTTGTGCAACCCTACTTCCAATAATTTTGTACAAGTAATTGACATTTAACTCAAGAACTAACCCGCTGATTATTGGTCCGTTTGGTAGGACTGAGATTATAATTTACTACGTATTAGATAAAAATCATGACACTCCAGAAAATGTTCAGTGATGCAGTTGTGACTGATATTTGCAATACTTTAATACATATTTTTCAGATATTAATTAGAAAGAATTGAGTAATACTATTACGGACCAATTGAATCAGACTGTCACAAAATAGATTTTCTAATGAAAATAAAAAAACTCCGCAGCCATGATAGAATGCACACATGATCGGTGTGTAGGCTAAAAACTGCCGTAGCCATTGGGGCTTGTCGAAAAAGCTGCTAGATGCATTTGTTAAATCAGCTTGGTTTGCTAACTTGCTAATCTACACCCATCATATTCCTGCCCCCATTAGCCACGGGATAAAAGCAAATATGATCTTATTAATGAGATTAGCTGATTAGTAGCTTCAATCTAGCATGGGATTT